GCCGCGCCCAGCTGCCCGCCACGTCGCCCTGCCCGCGGCATCGCCACCTGCCCGCGGCGTCGCCACCTGCCCGCGGCGTCGCCACCTGCCCGCGGCGTCGCCACCTGCCCGCCGTGTCGCCCTGCCCGCGGCGTCGCCCCTGCCCGCCGCGTCGCTCTGCCCGCCGCGTCGCCCCTGCCCGCGGCGTCGCCCCTGCCCGCCGTGTCGCCCTGCTCGCGGCGTCGCCCCTGCCCGCCGCGTCGCCCTGCCCGCCGCGTCGCCCCTGCCCGCGCGTCGCCCCTGCCCGCTGCGTCACCCTGACCTACCCCGCGCCTTGCCCCTGGAGCAGCCGCCTCTGGAGCAGCCGCCCCTGCAGCAGCCGCCCCTGGCCCCTGGAGCAGCCGCCCCTGCAGCAGCCGCCCCTGGCCACTGGAGCAGCCGCCCCTGGAGCAGCCGCCCTTGGCCACTGGAGCAGCCGCCACTGCAGGAGCCGCCCCTGGCCCCTGGAGCAGCCGCCCCTGGAGCAGCCGCCCCTGCAGCAGCCGCCCCTGGCCCCTGGAGCAGCCGCCCCTGCAGCAGCCGCCCCTGGCCACTGGAGCAGCCGCCCCTGGAGCAGCCGCCACTGCAGGAGCCGCCCCTGGCCCCTGGAGCAGCCGCCTCTGGAGCAGCCGCCCCTGGAGCAGCCGCTGTGGCGACCCCGCAGTCGCCTCCGTCGTGCGCCTGCCCTTCCCACCACTGGTGAGCACTGCCCTGCCCGTGCTGCTACTGCTGTTACTGCTGCTGCTACTGCTTCTACTGCTGCTCCTGGCGTGGCCAGATGCAGCTCCAGGGTCGTCCGCGTGTGTCCCTCACGCCCCAGCAGCTTCCTGAGTGGTACGCCAGTTGGGGTTGTCGGGGTGGCAGTAGTGGGAGTCGTCCTGGAGTGGGTAGTTCGGGAGTTTCTTGTAGTGGCCCGGTGCAGCAGCAGCGTCGTCTACGCGAGGCTCTTTCGCCCCAGCAGCTTCGTGAGTGGTACGCTCAGAGTAGAGGGTCACTGAGTACTGCTCGCTGCCCGTACGTCATTCGCACAGGTGTCCGGACTGGTCAGCCTTGCGGGACACGTGGTCACACAGAGTCCCACTGCTTCGCCCGTCTGGGCGACGCTTGGCGTACAGAGTTTGGCGACGACGCTGAGCTCCCCGACTGGGTGGAGCTGCTTAGGCAGAGGGTAGATATCTATGCTCTTGACTATGATGCTATCCTCACTGCCATGTATGCATTGTCTACTAGTGCTGAGAGTGCCTGTCACCTGTGTGTGCCGCCTGACCTCGGTATCCAGTCTGCTGCTCTAGGTACTGGTGAGGCTGCCGCACTAGGTGCTCGTGTGTCTGTTGCCTCAGGTGCTGGTGAGGCTGCCGCTCTAGGTGCTAGTGTGTCTGTTGCCCCAGGTGCTGGTGAGGCTGCTGCTCTAGGTACTCGTGAGTCTGCGCCCTCTGGTACTGCGTCTACTGAGGCACTGCACACCTTCACACTGGACTCAGGCGCTTCCCGCTGTTTCTTTTGTGACCGCACTGCCCTTGAGCAGCTTGCTCGGCCGGTTGCAGTCTCCCTCGCTGACCCCTCTAGGGGTCCGGTCATTGCGACCTCCTCTACTGTTCTCCCTTGTCCTGCGGTCCCGTCGGGCACACTGTCAGGTCTCTACCTCCCCTCGTTCTCTACGAACTTGGTGGCGGGGGTGAGAGATGAGGTCCTCAGCGGTGGTAAACGAGGACAGGTCGGGGAACAGGTAGGGTAGCATAAGTCGACCGAGGGCTGCAGTGGCCGGGGAAGAGTAGCGGGCAACTACGGCTTCGTACAGTGCCTTGGCAGTCTTGTGCTGGCTAAAATGCGCGTGCTCTGTGATCGGCAGATGGTTGCGAATAGCTAGGCGCGCAGCAGCATCGCGGGTCTGCCACTGGGAGCGGGCTAGAGCAGGCTCAGTATCAGCAGGAGCAACGGCAGTGCCAGACACGTAATCGAACAGGGAAACACTGTCCTTGGCATCAGTCAGGAGGAACAGTTGCAGGTCGTCGAGCCAGGTGGCGAACTCTACTGGACGACCGTCAGGATCGAACGCGAGCACATTAAGCGTCGCCATAGTAGCAGTGCAGGCAGGGCAGTGGAGATGGCGTGCAGGGCAAGCAAACGCGCGCAGTAGAGAGGCACGCGCGGCAGGAAAGGCGCTCAAGGCAAGCACGCGCACTTGGCAGGCAGGCGCTCAAGGCAGGCAGGCACTCAAGGCAGGCAGGCGCACTTGGCAGGCAGGCGCTCAAGGCAGGCGCTCCAGGCAGGCTAAGACAGGCAGGTGCGCGGCTCACGGGCGGCACATGGGCAGGGCACGCGCGGCTGCGGGCTACGCGCAGCTGCGGGCTGCGCGTGGCTGCTGGCTGCGCGTGGCGACGGGCTGCGCGCTGCTGTGGGCTGCGCGTGGTGACGGGCTGCGCGCGGCTGCGGGCTGCGTGCGGCGGCGGGCTGCGCGGGCGGGGCCTAAGCGGGCTGCGCGCGGGCGGCTTAAGCGGCGCGCGGGCCGGCAGCAGGCTGCGCGGGCGGCTAACGCGGCGCGCGGGGCCGAAAACGGGCTGCGCGGGCTGCTTAAGCGGCGCGCGCGGGAAAAAAAAAAGGGCCGCGCGCGGGCAGCAGGCAAGGCAGGCAGGCAGGCAAGGCGGTAGGTGAGATAACGCGGTAACCGGTGGGCCCTAATCTTAGGTCCTAAAGACCTACTGCTCTAGATACCATCTTAGAAACTTAGGCATGGATGACTTGCAGTGTCGAGAGATTTTGGTACAAGGAAGAAACCTAAGGGGTTGTACCCCACAGTATCTACCCCACTACAGCCTACCCAAAACTATAACACATATATATGTTTGACAGCTTCTACTACTCCTATGATTCTGACAGATAGTTCCCACCCAGCTTTTTTTTCTTCAGGTGAGGGACATCATGATGACTCCAGATTCATGCGTGACAGGTGACTATTAGTCTACACATGAAACCTTGTGGTATGCTAAAGAAATGATGAGTACTTGGAAAGGAAGAGTTAACGCCACTGATATTGTTTGACACTTAGAACGCTGGATTCTCATGCGGCCTGGCACATGGATGTTCGCCTGACACCTAGAAGGCATCGGTCAGAGAAAAGGAAAATCTTGCTATTGTTTGACTATATCAGTGCTCTGATAAATTCTGTCAATGATATCTGACAGGGTCAAGGCCAATCATAGCATTTTTCATCTCCACTGCCACAATCTGCTATCAATCTTGACTATGCCTAGGCCTTAATTGCGGAAGCAACCCCAGCTAGCCTACTTATGCACACATAACAGATCCATATACCGTAATGCTTGTATGCTTGTACATAAGCCGAAGCGCGGGTCTCCCTATACCTGGAACTTGTTGTTCAATGAACCTTGCCAACAAGGAAAAAAAATTTGCGTAATTCATTCGCCGCCGAAAATGTCTGACACCCTTGGGATTGGTCTGGTGTCGAGCCAACGGCAACCTCCTTCCGAACAGGGTTTTCGTTACAGGCATCGAACTTGGTTGTCACAGCTCGTTTTCCAAACAAAGCCCAGAAACCCTGTCTGGGCCTGACGAAATTCGCGAGCTCTGTCTGTGTCGCCAAATGCATAGCTGAATCGTCCACCACCAAATAAGCCAACTCGTCGTGGTATCCACACATTCTTTGAGACCTTAGTTACCCTTGACGAAATCGTTGCACAAGACAGAATTACGCCTTGCAGGCTTGTTTCGTCCTATTTTGAGTCCCACGTCTGGACTGTACCCCGTCATATTCATTTGCTCACCTCCTCGGGATTCCCCATTTCGCTTTCAATTGACGCTCCGTAAGCGTGACAGTGGCCTTCAAGTTTTTCTCCCTCGGACTATGCATGATTAGCAGTTTTACCTGAAAATCACCACGTGAAGTTATATGTATTGGAGTGTCAAGCTGCTACGTGCTGTATTGGGGCGTCTCGCCCCTTTCAGCTAGTGCCATGTGTCGGCTGATGGTGTATTTAGGCACGCCATGCCTACTAGCCGACTTGGTTACCAAACCGTCTAGATCGCTAACGCGCCAGTCCTACGACGCTAAGGAACGTTTAACGGGTCATGGATACCTTAACGGGGACGGATTTGGGATCGGATGGTACTCACCCGAAGGCCATGGGCCTTTAGCGATCGAGGATCCGACGCCTTGCGTTTTCTCCTCCATTCAGCCAGCCTGGAACAATGGTAACCTCAAGCGGTTGGCGAATAAGATCATCTCGCCACTCATCTTCGCTCACGTTCGCGCGGCGTATCCGGGAATCCCCGTCAATGACTCCAACTGCCAGGTCCGATGATGCCATGTTACGTACATCGGGAATCCGATCCCTTTATCTCTGACTGCTTGGAAGGAACCGTCACGATACACCTCGTTAGCGAAAACCGTTCGAGCGTTAGGTGATGGGGAACGTTCTTAGTTTGTCTTGGTTAGTTGGAAGGAACCGAATTTGCCCTCCTCACGCCTTTTTACCCTTCTTCTGCGCATTCCTCGATGCGTCTCCTGTTCTCATGCGCCTCAGAGATCGCAGTCGTTGCCAGCAGGACGTACAAACGTCACCCTTTTTCCACAATGTTTAAGGCGTTTAGAAAAAATAACGTGAGAAGGTTTCTCTTTTAGATGATTACTTCCTCTTTCCTCCTTTCGTCTCCCCTCCCAACCGTCCTGTTGTTCACCCTATGGCACGCCTGCAGGCGCAAGGCTGGGACAAGAGCGTTTCACAACGTTCCATTTTGGGTGGTAGACTCTAGTTTACCCCACGTCCCCCTCTCTCCTCCTTCCGTCTCCCAGCCTGCCTGTCCATCCTGTGGTTCCTCTGTTGGCACCACGGCAGGGTCGGGGGGATGTCACAACGTGCCTGCGAAAGTAACATTTACTGCAAAAGTACCCTTTCCTGCTCACAACTAGTATATCCTATTCCCTCCACGTCCTCCAGCCATTCGTGTGTGGGAGGTACATATGGATGCACAACGGTGGGGTGGGGGGGTTCCACAAGGTGCGGAGAAAGCTGCTGGAGTCACTGCGGGATGACGTGTACCAGCAGTGCCCCTCCTTCGAGTCCGACTCCGCCATCTGCTTCGCTCTCTTCCTCAACCAGATCCAAGACCCCATGCAGCAGCTCGCACCAGGTACGTGCTATTGTTTTGGTATTATTATTATTATTATTACTACTACTATTATTATTATTATACTCGCTATTGTTTTTCTAATCATTTTCTTTGTTTTGTCCAGCAGCTCGCGCCACAGTGTGCAGAGGACTTGTGAATATTGCATGCATGCATTGTATCTCCTTGACCCCCCTCCCATTGTGCCTGCTATGCGCTCAGAGGAGCTAGTGGCTCGGACGGAGGCGACGATCAACGAGGTGAACCATGCGCGGCCTCATACATGCATGTGTGTGCATTCTGTCTTGACCTCCCATCGTGCCTGCTATGCATGCAGAGGAGCTGGTTGCGAAGATGGAGGCGACGATCAACGAGGTGAACCGGCTGTGTGGCGAGGCGGGGGTGGCAGACGAGCTCTCTCTGCTCAACTTCGTTGTCTCCGACGGCCGCACTGTGGTGGCCACCAAGTGAGTTTAGTTTGGTGCTGGCCACCCAGTGAGTTTAATTCAGTGCTGGTGAGTTCATTATGTTCAGTTGGTTGCCACCGCACCGAGTGAGGTCAGTCCTTCCTTCTCCTCTCTCCCTCCTCTGCGGCAGACACCGAACAAGGAGTGTGTAGCGCCGCACGGAGTGTTGGGAGAAGTTGTCGTACATACCTCTGCTTTTCATGCCATATTCCCCACTCCTTCCTTCTCCTTCCGCCCTCCCACCCGGCAGGTATTGCAATCTGCCCCATGAGGAGTGTGCGACGCTGTACTACGCAAGTGGCAGCCGGTTTGAGGCGCTGGACGGCAGCAGCAATGATTACTTGGTGCGCCACGCCGACCGCCGTGGGCTGCTGGGGATCGTGGCCAGCGAGCCGCTCACTGATGAGAGTGCGGACTGGATTCAGGTGAGGGGGAGTGGTAGGGAGAGTAGTATAAGGGGATTCAAGTGCTGGGGATCGTGGCCAGCGAGCCACTCACTATTGAGGAGCGCCTAATGAGGAGCGCGGATTGGATTCAGGTGAGAGGAGTGATGGTGGGGGGAGTGGGGAGGGGCATTGCGCGATCTAGGTAAGCCGCTCACGGACGAGAGTGCCGTCACATTCTCCTCTCCTTTCCGTTCTCCCGCTCTCTTTACTTTCCTTTCTTTCCTCCGCCCCGCACTCAGGTCCCACGCAACACGGCGGTGGTGATGACGCAATGTAAGCCCGAGTCGAATTCGCTCTTGAGTGCCGCCCCCCTCTCTCCCCCCCACCAGGTCCCGCGCAACACGGCGGTGGCGATGACGCGGTTCAAGGGCGAGTTCGTGTATGTGCTTCTGATGACTATGCATGTCAGCTTTGTTCTTGATTTGCCCCTCCACCTCCCCCATCAGGTGCCGCGCAACACTATGGTGGTGATGACGCGGTTCAAGGGCGAGTTCGTGGATGTGCTGCTCCTGAATCCCTGTACTCCCCACCCCCCACCCCTTTAGGTCCCGCGCAACACGGCGGTTGTAATGACACGGTTCAAGGGCGAGTTCGTGGATGTGCTGCTGGTGCCGTGACTATGCATGTCAGCTCTGCTCTTGATTTGCCCCTCCACCTCACCCACCAGGTCCCGCGCAACACGGCGGTGGTGATGACGCGGTTCAAGGGCGAGTTCGTGGATGTGCTGCTGGTGCCCATCAACCCGCCCCCCTCTGTGGCTCGCGACATCTCGCGCGCCTTCAAGGCCCTCGCCAGCTGCCCGCCCACCTCCCTCAAGGTCTCCCTCAGACGCCCCAGGCGAGCACAGGGGAGGAGGCGGGCGCCTGCTGCTGGGGCTCTGCAGCAGCGCCAGCAGCAGCAGCAGCAGCAGCAGCAACAGCAGCAGGTGGGGCAGTCTCCAGTTTCCAGTACCTCTTCTCAAACGGCGTTTTCTGCAACTGCAACCACTCCACCTCCTCTTGCTGCTGGTGCTTCTCCCGCTGCTGCTGCTGCTGCTGCTGGAAGTGTGTCACCGGCGGTGCTACCAGCAGGAGGGGCGGCAGGAGGAGCGGGCAGCTGGAAGGAGGGTTTGCGAGACCTAGTCAGAGATCAGGACGGGAGGGATACCACGGGAGACGAGGAGGAGGACGATGAAGATGATTTTGATGGGGACGCGGAGATTTACAGGTATCCCAGCAGCCAGTCTTGGAATGGTGGCATCAGCGGCAACGGCGGCAACAGCAGCAGCAGCAGCAGCAGCGCCAGAAGCGGTGGCAGCAGCAGGAGGTATCCGCCCACGACAGTTCTCCCACCAGAGGGCATTCCTCTAACGGACAGGCCGCGGCACGCGATGGCGAAGCACCGGCAGCCGGTGCTGGCCCTTGCAGTGGATGGTAACCGCGTGTTTGCGGGGTCGCAGGACGGGCTGATCACGCTGTACGACCTGCGCGACTTCCGGTGTGTGTGCACGCTGGCGGGGCACAGCCAGACCATCTTCTCCCTCTCCGTGCACCATGACCGCCTCTACAGCTCCTCCACACGAGTCGTCAAGATCTGGGACACCAAGACCTTCCGATTGCTCTCCACTCTCCGGTACTCCGATGGGGATGTGTTCGCGCTCGCCCTCGCGCTTGGAAGGTCTGTCGCCGGCCCTGCAGGCACCTCCATTGTTCGTTGCACCAGGGCGTCTGCTGCCGCTGCCGCTGCTGCTGCCGTTGCTAAGGGGCATGGGGAGGGGCAGGGGGGTGGGCAGAAGCAGCTGAAGCATCTGCACAGCTTGAAGGATTTCGTGCTTCCCTCGGGTTCCTCCTTTCCCGATGCCTCCACCATGCTGGAAGCTTCTGTGTCACAACCAGCTGGTTCTACTGCTGCTGCTGGTGCTGCTGCTTCTGCTGCTGCTGCTTCTTCTGGTGCCTTCTCTCCATCGCCTGCGGCAGCCAATCACAGGTCGCCAGCTGCCATGGCAGCAGCGGCGGCTGCTGCAGCTGCAGTGGCAGCAGGAGGGGAGGGTGTAGTTTCTTCCACTGGTCGCAGTTTGTCACAGATGAAAGACCCTCAGTTATCAGCCACTGGAAACAGCAGCATCGCTACTGAAACAGCAACACCTGGAGGAAGAGGAGCAGCAGCAGCAGGGGCAGGGGCAGCAGCAGTCGGAGCAGCAGGTGGGTCCATGTGGGAGTCACTTTCCTCAGAGGAGACCCTTTGGCCCCAGGCTTCAGCTCTTGCTACCCAACCTCGCGGTACTGGCTCTGCTACTGCTGCCACTGCTGCTGCTCCTGTTGCCATACCTCAGGCTCGAGCCCGAACCAAAGGCCCAAGCTCGGGACTAGACGGTGGTTCTACAGCAGTGGGGTCTGGTGGGCATGTGGTTCGGGTTGGGTTCGGGGATCTCGCCCAATCGTTGTCACCCGAAGCTCACCTGTACAGCTACCTGGAAGGGGCGAGGTCTGGCGGCGGATCAGCAGCAGGTTCGTTACGTGGCTCGGGAGGGAGGTCTGGAGGTTCGTACATGACAGTGGTAGGTGAGGGGGAGGAGGAGGAGGATGAGGAGGTTGGAGGGAGGAGGGGTACGGAAGGGAATGGTGGGAGTGGGGTGGAGGCAGGTGGGTGTTGTGGCGGGCAGAGAGAGGAGGTGAGAGTGGAAGGGTGGCATCAGGAGGTGATTGGCAGGTTACCTGATAACCAGAATGTAATTATGAACGGTCAGGTGAACGGTCAGGTGAATGGTCAGGTGAATGGCCAGGTGTTCAGTCAGGTGACTGGCCAGCAGCCGCAGCAGCACGATACACAGGCAGCAGGGCAGCAGGAGCAGCATCTGGGAGGAGGGGCGAACCCTTGTGAAGGAGGAGGAGGAGGAGGAGGGCCGGGAGGTACAGTGGTGGGTGGTGGATGCAGCGAAGCTTTAAGCGTGGGTGGTGGTGGTGGTGGTGGAGGGGCAGCAGGATTGGGAGCAGGAGGAGGAGGAGGAGGTGTGGGAGGGGCCAGCAGTGGAGTTGGATGTGGGGCAGGAAGTGGGGGAGGGGTTGGCACGGTGTGCAACAGCACGGAAGCAGCGCTGGTGCTGACAGATTCGAACAAGAATGGCCACTGCAGCCGCGTCTATGCTCTGGCTGTAGCAGACCCCCTCATCTGTAGCGGCGCCGGCGACACCTTTGTCAAGGTGGGTGCTGGGCGGGGTTGTCATATGTGAGAGTTCTTTAACGCCGCTTGGGAGTTGTTAACGTGGTTGGGAGTTCTCAAATGCAGCTGTGCCATTGAGGCGGCACTGCACTCTGTTTCAACCCTTTCCATTAACCTCCCCACTCTGGTCCACCCCTCCACACCTTCACCCACTCCGACCCTTCTCTCCCTCGTACCCTTCTCATCTTGCTCCCTTTCGTCTGTGCTGGTTAGTGACAGGCGAGTGGGTGGCAACGCTGCACAGGAAACCCTTCGATTCGCCCTTCTAGCCCCTTCTCAACACCATCTATCAATCTATCCCTACTCTTCAACTTCAATCTCCCTTCCATCTCGCTGCACTGCCAGGTGTGGTCTTTGGTGACGGGCGAGTGGGTGGCAACGCTGCATGGCCACAAGGGGGGCGTCATGGCGCTCGCCACGGCTGATGCAGCAGCTGACTCCTCCCACCGCTCCTCCTCTGCTCCCAACCTTCTCGGCCCTTCCAAGCCTCACCATGGACCGCCGCCCCGCGCGTCCAAGCCTCTGTGGCGCCTCTTCAGCGGTGCGTGTGCTTTCAATAATTGTGCCCCTGCCTTTTTTCAAAGGAAGTGTGAAAGCCTTCGGGCTGCTGCTCAGTCTATGGGTTGCTCATTCAACCTTGTAGCTTTCCTCATGTCAGCAAGCAACCTGTCTGCTTGCACCTCTGCTTGCTCATGCCGATCCACCCTGTGATCAGTCCGCCATCGAGTAAAGAGCCCGTGCACTCAGCTGTCGCGGCTGTACCTTGTAGTCGCAACTCCTCCTAATCTCCCTATCACTTAATCCCGTTGACACACACATGCTGATCACTTCTGCTGGCCGATGCGGATCACTTTCCGATCCCCTTGTTCCTCTTGCCCTCGTGCCCATGTCCGCTTTCTCCCCAGGGTCACGGGACAACACGATGAGGGTGTGGGACCTCTCTTTTCTTTACTGATGCACCACCATACTTCCCCTCCTGCCCTACTTCCCCCCTCTCCAGGGTCAAGGGACAACACGATCAGGGTGTGGGACCTCTCATCGTTGCTCTGCATCACCACCCTCACCGGCCACACCGACGATGTTGTGGGGCTCGCCACTGGTACAGCGTTCTGTCGCTTGCCCTCCATAGTCATTCTTCCTCTCCTTCTCACCCTCATTCACCGACGATGCCATAGGGCTCACCACCAATACACTTATCATGCCCATTACCATAAATCCCCTTCTCATTTTCATTCACCGACTACGTCGTGGGGCTCGCCACTGGTACTCTGCCCTCACCTTTTTCATCTTGTTCACAGCATTAACAGCAGCAGCACCACCAACCCCAGGACCAGCCCCAACAGCAGCTGCATGAGCTAGTGCAGCAACAGCCCGAGCTAGTGTAGCAGCAGCCAGAATTGCAGCAACAGCAAAACGAGCTAACCTGCCAGACATTCATACTGATGATTATGGCAAAATTTATGCGCTTGTGAACTTGTCAAACAGCGGATACCTGCGGGGGAGTTTTAGACGCAGGTGGAGGGGAGTACTTGGTCTGACATAACACGTGTGCTCTACACGAGCGAGCCGGCATCTGCTGGAACCATAACGAGGATGGTTTTGATGGTGCGGCACTTTCTAAGCAATGGGAGAATAGGGTTTGTACGAAGCAATAAACAAGCGATGATGAGGCGGTGGAATGAGATGAACGGTGCAAATTTGCAGTAAAGTGGGGAATTGGGTGCTAGCGGCAGATTCATGCCGGACGTTTGGACTTGTGTTCAAATTGCAAGGGCGCTGGAGCTGGCGGGTTTTAACGTGGTGACTGCAAAGGCCGCAGCCAAAGGCAGCGGAAGCAGAAGAAGCTGCAGCTGCACTAGATGCAATGGCAGACTTCAACTGCCATTTGCGGCTGCGGCTGTCATTGCTTCTGGTGCAGCTGCAGCTTCTTCTGCCGCCACAGCTGCAGCTTCTGCTTTTGCTGCTTTTCCTGCGGCCTTTGCAGTCGCCAGATCGTAAGACCCGCCAGCTCCAGCGCCCTTGCAGTTTGAACACGCGCCCAAACGCTCGGCAGGAATCTGCCGCTAGCACCCAAGTCCCCCCTTGACTGCAAATCCGCACTCTTCATCTCATTCCACCACCTCATCATCGCTTCTCTATTGCTCCGTATAAACTCTATTTTCCCGTTATCTAGAACGTGCCGCACCATTGAAACCATCCTCGCCATGGTTCCAGCAGGTGTTGGCTCGTTCGTGTGGAGCACCTGTGTTATGCTGGACCAAGTACTCCCTTCCACCTGCGTTTGAAATTCCCCCGCAGGTATCAACTGCTTTGACAAGTTCACAACTGCATAAATCTTGTAATAATCATCAATATGAATGCCTGACAGCTTTGCTGGTTTTGCTATTGCTGCAGCAGCGGCTGCTTCTGCACTAGCTCGGGCTGTTGCTGCACTAGCTCGTGCAGCTGCTGTTGGGGATGGTCCTAGGGTTGATGCTGTGAATATGTTCTTCTTGATAATACACTCTTGCTCCTCACAATTTCCTGATTATCTACGACATCGCCGGCACTGCTAGCGATGTTGAAAAAGTCTCTATTTCCATACCATCTGTCGCTCTGTCTGTCCATCCCATTTGTTACTCTGTCCATCCCATTTCCCTTCCCTCGCCGCCCATGATGCTGCAGGCCCTAACAACCGTCTCTTCAGTGCGTCCGTGGATCACACCATCAGGTACTCACCTCTGCTCCTGGACTGCCCTGGTTCTGTGCTTTGCCTGCATGTGCCTTCCATCCTCCCCCTCCTCACCTCGGTGCACCACGCCCTCATGTTCTGGGCCCCTGTACTCCCCCACCCATCCCAGGGTGTGGAGCATGGTGACATATGAGTGCGAGCGAGTGTTCCTTCAGGAGGGCTCCATCTTCCTCTCCATCGCATGCACGCCCACCGGGGTCGTCACCGGCTCCAGGTGGGTCAGAACAATAACCCTCTTTCTCTTTTCAAGGATGGGCTGGGGTCGTCACCGGCTCCAGGTGGGTTGGGGTAGGTGGCGTGTGGTTCAGTAAGGCCAACAGTATAGCTGCCTGAGGGCTCGCACTACATGGCCTCTCACGTTCTCACAAGCCATAAGCTCAGCTGCAGAAGAATTTTGCTTCACATGGACCCCAGATTTCTCTGAATTTTATGTTCCTCTGACCGTTCCAGTGTTGCGCTTCTCTCTACCCTTCACTTTCCTTTCTCTTTCCCTTCATTCTCCCCCCTCGCTGGCCTCCCCCTTTCACCATTCTCACAGCGACGGTGTAGTGCGGTACTGGGAGGTGGACTCTGCCAGCGTGGACCAATCACAGTCCGCCACGGAGGACAGCAAGGGGCTTCCCACCGCCTCCCACTCGCACCACCTCCCGCATTCCACTCCAAGCTTCAAGCTCCAGGTACCCCCTCCCCCACTCCACGCCAAGATTCAGTCTCAAGGTACCACCTCCCCCATTCCTTTCCGAGATTCAGTCTTAAGGTACCACCTCCCCCATTCCGTGCCGAGATTCAGTCTTAAGGTACCACCTCCCCCATTCCGTGCCGAGATTCAGTCTTAAGGTACCACCTCCTTCGACACGAGCAACGAGCTGACATGTCCCAACCCAGGCCAACCCAGCCCGACCCAGGCCAAGCATGGGTCACGTTGGATCGACCCAACCTCAGTCCACATCCCACCACAGGTTTGTGACGCGACCTGTTCGGTTCACATGTTCATGATTCATGCCTATCCGCGCTTGCCTGTCCACATGTTGGCTCCTACTCCATGATCTCTATTTTGTTGCACTCGCGTCTGACCTGGTCTGATTAGCGTCTAATGGGGCCTGGTTGCCTATAAAATCCCGCACTCATGTGTGTATGTGTGTATCTGTGTATCTGTGCATGTTTGTATCTGTGCATGCGTGTGTGTGTGCGTGTATGTGTGTATGTGTGTATCTGTGCATGTGTCTGTGCATGTGTCTGTGCATGTGTCTGTGCATGTGTGTGTGTATGTGTGTGTGTATGTGTGTGTGTGTGTGTGTGTGTGTGTGTGTGTGTGTGTGTGTGTGTGTGTATGTGTGTATCTGTGCATGTGTATGTGTGTGCATGTGTGTATGTGTGTATCTGTGCATGTGTGTGTGTGTATGTGTGTATGTATGTATGTATGTATGTATGTATGTATGTATGTATGTGTGCATGTGTCTATGTGTGTATGTGCATGCATGCATGCATGGCAGAACGAGTCGGTGGCGGCGGAGCAGAGGCTGATGGAGGACACGCTGAGGCAGCTGGTGCGCATGAGGACCGTCAGCACATGCACGTCCCGCCTCGCTGCACAGGAGGTGAGTGAGAGGGACCCGCTTGATGCACTTATACCACCCACTGCAGCTGGTGCGCATGAGGACCGTCAGCACGTGCACGTCCCGCCTCGCTGCACAGGAGGTGAGTGAGAGGGGCCCGCTTGATGCACTTATACCACCCACTGCTGCTGGTGCGCATGAGGACCGTCAGCACATGCATGTCCCGCCTCGCCGCCCAGGAGGTGAGGGGCATCCAGGTTGAGCATCGAGAGGGGCCGTCAGCACATGCGCCTCCCACCACGCTGCACAGGAGGTGAGTGTATGGATCCTATGTGGTGGATAATTCTATTGTATTCCGCCGATCCGGTCTCACACTGCCTCTCTCGGGGCTCACTGCTAAGCTAGAGCTTGAATTCTATTTGGTTGGGAGCTTGTGGTCCGCTTGAGTTTCGCTTGTGTTGCTGTGTTCACTACCCTATCCCTCCCTTTTCTCATGGCAGATGTGGCGGGCGGCCAACGTGGGGATGGGGCTGCTGCACTCCCCTCTTCCTCTGCTCCTCACTTCCCTGATTCTCCCCGTCCTGTTCCATCTCCACCCCTTTGCTCATGGCAGATGTGGAGGGCGGCCAACGTGGTGATGGGGTTGCTGGAGGACATAGGGGCGGAAGCCAAGCTAGTGATGGCCGTGGATGGGACCAGCCCTGTTGTGTTCGGCCGCATCGTGCAGGTGTGGGTTTGTTGTGAGATGAGGCAGCATCGTGCAGTCGTGCTGTGCTTGGCCGTATCGTGTAGGTGCTGTGCGGTTGCCTGTGTTTTGCAGGTGTTGGCTGCATCATGCACGCGCATGCAGGGTGTGCTGTAAGCTGAGGTCGTTTCAGTCTGTGGTCCTGGATTCCTCCCTGCCATTTCCTCATATCCCTAGCCACCGCACAAGTCTCAACAGGTGGGCCTTATGACGCCTTAAGACGTGGGCACCTCGCAGCGTGCAGTGTGGAAATGGGGCCCACTCTCCCAGACCTCCTTCCTGCTTTTGAGGCACCTTAAAAGCGTTTTTGTTTTTTTTTTTTGAGTCGCCTCAAAAATAACCTCGCAGCGTGCAGTGTGGAAATGGGGCCTACTCTCCCAGTCCTCCTTCCTACCACCACCCCTCTGACAATCGGAAAATGCCACCTCCATGATGCGTTAAGAGCGGGCACCTCACAGTGTGCACAGCACATGGGGCCCACCCTCCCACTCCTCCTCATTGGAGTCAGTTATCGAGATTTTTTTTTAAGCGTATTTGGTGCTCGCTCACCCTCCCACTCCTCCTCCCTGCGAACCGCCCTCTTCCCTCCCTTTCCACAGGACCCCAGTCGTCTCACGATGTGCATATGCGGGCATTAAGATGTCTTGGGATGGCTGCTCCTCCCACTCCCGCGTTTCCTTCTTCCACAAACCCCCCTTCGGTTCCGCAGGACCCCAGCCGTCTCACCGTGTGCATATGCGGGCATTACGATGTCACGGGTGCAGGCGATATGGACGGTTGGATGAGCGACCCCTTTGATCTGACGGCTCAGGACGGCTTTCTCATTGGGCGAGGGGTGTCCAGCAGCAAGGGCCCGCTGATTGCCTCGCTCTTTGCCATCAAGGTGCGCCGTCGCTGCTGCTGCTGCTGCTGGTGGGATCACAGTAAAGTGATGAATGTGGCAATAGAAGAATGGGACATGCGTCTGTAAGAGCATTTCAGCGCATGGTTTCGCACTCTTGTGTGCCGAGCCGAGGCCCGAGTCACCAAGTGGTCTTCACCAACAACCCCCCTCTGCTTGCCTCGCCCTTTCCTCAGACCTCTCGACTCGTTCCATATCTGCCCTCGTTTTGAGCTGTCTCAGTATCAGCCGGTACCAACCTCCGCTTCAACCCTTTTCTGTTCAATACCTTCCCTCCTTTCCTTCCCATCCGTCACCTTGTTGCCTCACCATGCTGGCAGGATCTGGTGTGTCGGGGCGAGCTGGCAATCAACATTGTGTTTGTGATCGACGGCATGCAGGAGAACGGGTGCAAGGTGAGTGGGGTGTGGTACAGAGTGGTACGATGCGGGTGTAGCATGCAGGAGAACGGGTGCAAGGGGAGTGGGGCGTGGTGCAGAGCGGTGCAATGCAGTGTAGCGTGCAGGAGAACGGGTTCAAGGTGAGTGGGGTGTGGTACAGAGTGGTACGATGCGGGTGTAGCATGCAGGAGAATGGGTGCAAGGTGAGTGGGGTGTGGTACAGGTTGTGCATTGCGCTGTGGGATGCAGGAGAACAGGTGCAAGGTGAGTGGGGTGTGGTGCAGAGATGTGTAATGTGGTGTGGGATGCAGGAGAACGGGTGCAAGTTGAGTGGGGTGTTCCACAGAGTGGTGCAATGCGGTGTAGCATGCAGGAGAATGGGTGCGAGGCGAGTGTGGCGTGGGACGAGACGCAATGTGGTGTATGGCCCCTCTCGCCCCTACCCCTTTCCGCCAGGCTTTAATTGGGCTAACCTATCTGGACTGGTTTGAAACCCTGATTTCTCCTGTCTGTCCGAACTCTCTTCCGATTTCCCCCCTCAGGGTTTCAAGGAAGCAGTGTATGCCAACCTGGACTGGTTTGAGGGCACGGGGCTCATTCTCAGCAGCGATGGCGCGTGGATCAGGTGGGGACTAGGTGCAGCCATGGATCTATTAAGCTGCAGTAAGTTTTAGGTGGGGCCGCAGCACAGAGTTAGGGATCAGCTGAGGTTCCCATGACTACTAGCCGTGCCTTGCTCCCCCTCTTGACCGCCACCCGTGTGTCATCTATGGCAGGGCGTCTCTCATCCTGCTTGATTTCTTACCCCCCAACCCCCCTCGTTCCGCCACCCTTCTTCCTTTCCTCCCCCCAGCGACCAGCACCCGTGTCTGATATACGGCATGCGGGGGCTGATCTGTCTGACGGTGGCGGTGAGCGGGCCGCTCAAGGATTTGCACTCGGGCACACACGGGGGCAGCTTCAACGAGCCTCTCAACGACCTTGTCACTGTGCTCTCCAACCTCGTCGACTCCAATAACATGATTCTTATTCCAGGTGAATCCAACAACATGATTCTTATTCCAGGTGAATCCAACATTATGATCCTCATCCCAGGTAAATCCAACAACATGATCCTCATCCCAGGTGAATATAACACGCATTTTGGGTTCAGGTAGAATCAACAGGATGTCTGGCTGGCTTCAGGTGGAATATTATACCGAGTTTTTTGGCATCAGGTGAAAGCGATCCCAACGGTGTCAAATCTCAAGCCATATTTCTCTTTCCTTCTTTCTTTGTCAAAAACTATGGATGCATACTGGCAGGGTTCTACGACGATGTGAAGCCATTGGACGAGGAGGAGGAGGCGTTGTACCAGGGGCTGCACTTCCGAGTGGATGAGTACAAGGTGGGTGGACGAGTACAAGGTGGGTGGACGAGTACAAGGTGGGTGGACGAGTACAAGGTGGGTGGACGAGTACAAGGTGGGTGGACGAGTACAAGGTGGGTGGACGAGTACAAGGTGGGTGGGCGAGTACAAGGTGGGTGGACGAGTACAAGGTGGGTGGACGAGTACAAGGTGGGTGGACGAGTACAAGGTGGGTGGGCGAGTACAAGGTGGGTGGACGAGTACAAGGTGGGTGGACGAGTACAAGGTGGGTGGACGAGTACAAGGTGGGTGGACGAGTACAAGGTGGGTGGACGAGTACAAGGTGGGTGGACGAGTACAAGGTGGGTGCACGAGTACAAGGTGGGTGCACGAGTACAAGGTGGGTGGACGAGTACAAGGTGGGTGGACGAGTACAAGGTGGGTGGGCGAGTACAAGGTGGGTGGACGAGTACAAGGTGGGTGGACGAGTACAAGGTGGGTGGACGAGTACAAGGTGGGTGGACGAGTACAAGGTGGGTGGACGAGTACAAGGTGGGTGGGCGAGTACAAGGTGGGTGGACGAGTACAAGGTGGGTGGACGAGTACAAGGTGGGTGGGCGAGTACAAGGTGGGTGGACGAGTACAAGGTGGGTGGACGAGTACAAGGTGGGTGGACGAGTACAAGGTGGGTGGACGAGTACAAGGTGGGTGGACGAGTACAAGGTGGGTGGACGAGTACAAGGTGGGTGGACGAGTACAAGGTGGGTGGACGAGTACAAGGTGGGTGGACGAGTACAAGGTGGGTGGACGAGTACAAGGTGGGTGGGCGAGTACAAGGTGGGTGGACGAGTACAAGGTGGGTGGACGAGTACAAGGTGGGTGGACGAGTACAAGGTGGGTGGGCGAGTACAAGGTGGGTGGACGAGTACAAGGTGGGTGGACGAGTACAAGGTGGGTGGACGAGTACAAGGTGGGTGGACGAGTACAAGGTGGGTGGACGAGTACAAGGTGGGTGGACGAGTACAAGGTGGGTGCACGAGTACAAGGTGGGTGCACGAGTACAAGGTGGGTGGACGAGTACAAGGTGGGTGGACGAGTACAAGGTGGGTGGACGAGTACAAGGTGGGTGGACGAGTACAAGGTGGGTGGACGAGTACAAGGTGGGTGGGCGAGTACAAGGTGGGTGGACGAGTACAAGGTGGGTGGACGAGTACAAGGTGGGTGGACGAGTACAAGGTGGGTGGACGAGTACAAGGTGGGTGGACGAGTACAAGGTGGGTGGGCGAGTACAAGGTGGGTGGGCGAGTACAAGGTGGGTGGACGAGTACAAGGTGGGTGGACGAGTACAAGGTGGGTGGACGAGTACAAGGTGGGTGGATGAGTACAAGGTGGGTGGACGAGTACAAGGTGGGTGGACGAGTACAAGGTGGGTGGACGAGTACAAGGTGGGTGGACGAGTACAAGGTGGGTGGACGAGTACAAGGTGGGTGGACGAGTACAAGGTGGGTGGGCGAGTACAAGGTGGGTGGACGAGTACAAGGTGGGTGCACGAGTACAAGGTGGGTGCACGAGTACAAGGTGGGTGGACGAGTACAAGGTGGGTGGACGAGTACAAGGTGGGTGGACGAGTACAAGGTGGGTGGACGAGTACAAGGTGGGTGGACGAGTACAAGGTGGGTGGGCGAGTACAAGGTGGGTGGACGAGTACAAGGTGGGTGGACGAGTACAAGGTGGGTGGGCGAGTACAAGGTGGGTGGACGAGTACAAGGTGGGTGGGCGAGTACAAGGTGGGTGGGCGAGTACAAGGTGGGTGGACGAGTACAAGGTGGGTGGACGAGTACAAGGTGGGTGGACGAGTACAAGGTGGGTGGATGAGTACAAGGTGGGTGGACGAGTACAAGGTGGGTGGACGAGTACAAGGTGGGTGGACGAGTACAAGGTGGGTGGACGAGTACAAGGTGGGTGGACGAGTACAAGGTGGGTGGACGAGTACAAGGTGGGTGGACGAGTACAAGGTGGGTGGACGAGTACAAGGTGGGTGGACGAGTACAAGGTGGGTGCACGAGTACAAGGTGGGTGCACGAGTACAAGGTGGGTGGACGAGTACAAGGTGGGTGGACGAGTACAAGGTGGGTGGACGAGTACAAGGTGGGTGGACGAGTACAAGGTGGGTGGACGAGTACAAGGTGGGTGGGCGAGTACAAGGTGGGTGGACGAGTACAAGGTGGGTGGACGAGTACAAGGTGGGTGGACGAGTACAAGGTGGGTGGACGAGTACAAGGTGGGTGGACGAGTACAAGGTGGGTGGACGAGTACAAGGTGGGTGGACGAGTACAAGGTGGGTGCACGAGTACAAGGTGGGTGCACGAGTACAAGGTGGGTGGACGAGTACAAGGTGGGTGGACGAGTACAAGGTGGGTGGACGAGTACAAGGTGGGTGGACGAGTACAAGGTGGGTGCACGAGTACAAGGTGGGTGGACGAGTACAAGGTGGGTGCACGAGTACAAGGTGGGTGCACGAGTACAAGGTGGGTGGACGAGTACAAGGTGGGTGGACGAGTACAAGGTGGGTGGACGAGTACAAGGTGGGTGGACGAGTACAAGGTGGGTGGACGAGTACAAGGTGGGTGGGCGAGTACAAGGTGGGTGGACGAGTACAAGGTGGGTGGACGAGTACAAGGTGGGTGGACGAGTACAAGGTGGGTGGACGAGTACAAGGTGGGTGGACGAGTACAAGGTGGGTGGACGAGTACAAGGTGGGTGCACGAGTACAAGGTGGGTGCACGAGTACAAGGTGGGTGGACGAGTACAAGGTGGGTGGACGAGTACAAGGTGGGTGGACGAGTACAAGGTGGGTGGACGAGTACAAGGTGGGTGCACGAGTACAAGGTGGGTGGACGAGTACAAGGTGGGTGGGCGAGTACAAGGTGGGTGGACGAGTACAAGGTGGGTGGACGAGTACAAGGTGGGTGGACGAGTACAAGGTGGGTGGACGAGTACAAGGTGGGTGGGCGAGTACAAGGTGGGTGGGCGAGTACAAGGTGGGTGGGACGAGTACAAGGTGGGTGGACGAGTACAAGGTGGGTGGACGAGTACAAGGTGGGTGGACGAGTACAAGGTGGGTGGACGAGTACAAGGTGGGTGGACGAGTACAAGGTGGGTGGACGAGTACAAGGTGGGTGGACGAGTACAAGGTGGGTGGACGAGTACAAGGTGGGTGCACGAGTACAAGGTGGGTGCACGAGTACAAGGTGGGTGCACGAGTACAAGGTGGGTGGACGAGTACAAGGTGGGTGGGCGAGTACAAGGTGGGTGGACGAGTACAAGGTGGGTGGACGAGTACAAGGTGGGTGGACGAGTACAAGGTGGGTGGACGAGTACAAGGTGGGTGGACGAGTACAAGGTGGGTGGACGAGTACAAGGTGGGTGCACGAGTACAAGGTGGGTGCACGAGTACAAGGTGGGTGGACGAGTACAAGGTGGGTGGACGAGTACAAGGTGGGTGGACGAGTACAAGGTGGGTGGACGAGTACAAGGTGGGTGGACGAGTACAAGGTGGGTGGACGAGTACAAGGTGGGTGGGCGAGTACAAGGTGGGTGGACGAGTACAAGGTGGGTGGACGAGTACAAGGTGGGTGGACGAGTACAAGGTGGGTGGACGAGTACAAGGTGGGTGGACGAGTACAAGGTGGGTGGACGAGTACAAGGTGGGTGCACGAGTACAAGGTGGGTGCACGAGTACAAGGTGGGTGGACGAGTACAAGGTGGGTGGACGAGTACAAGGTGGGTGGACGAGTACAAGGTGGGTGGACGAGTACAAGGTGGGTGCACGAGTACAAGGTGGGTGGACGAGTACAAGGTGGGTGGGCGAGTACAAGGTGGGTGGACGAGTACAAGGTGGGTGGACGAGTACAAGGTGGGTGGACGAGTACAAGGTGGGTGGACGAGTACAAGGTGGGTGGACGAGTACAAGGTGGGTGGGCGAGTACAAGGTGGGTGGGCGAGTACAAGGTGGGTGGACGAGTACAAGGTGGGTGGACGAGTACAAGGTGGGTGGACGAGTACAAGGTGGGTGGACGAGTACAAGGTGGGTGGACGAGTACAAGGTGGGTGGACGAGTACAAGGTGGGTGGACGAGTACAAGGTGGGTGGACGAGTACAAGGTGGGTGGACGAGTACAAGGTGGGTGGACGAGTACAAGGTGGGTGGGCGAGTACAAGGTGGGTGGACGAGTACAAGGTGGGTGGACGAGTACAAGGTGGGTGGACGAGTACAAGGTGGGTGGACGAGTACAAGGTGGGTGGACGAGTACAAGGTGGGTGGACGAGTACAAGGTGGGTGGACGAGTACAAGGTGGGTGGACGAGTACAAGGTGGGTGGACGAGTACAAGGTGGGTGGACGAGTACAAGGTGGGTGGACGAGTACAAGGTGGGTGGACGAGTACAAGGTGGGTGGACGAGTACAAGGTGGGTGGGTGGGTGGCTGTGGCTGGCTCTGTGGAGTACAAGGTGGGTATGGCTGACAGATCGGTGTCACATGCACTGTGTTTCAGCGTTTGCATCAGTAGCAGTAGGCACAGAATGGAGGTGGTGCAGGGTTGCCAGCACATTCCCGTTCGCAAGGAAGAGAAAGGAAGAAGAAGAAAAAACAAAAAACAAAAATGAGGCGGTGAGACCTTGTCCATCTTTTCTGCTACCGCCCCCTCATGTCTTTCCTTTCTGCACCAATCACGGCTGCTGGTTGACAGGAGGCATAGCACGGGAGGCGTTGCAGAGTGGGCAGCGAAATTCTCTGTGCCGAAATAGTAGGCAAGAAAAATGAGGGAAGAAGAATCAGCAAAAAACGTCGGGCCCTCTGTCCTCTCCTCTACCCCCCTCTTCCCCCTCCCTTCCCCCCCCACCCCATGTCAGGCGCGCAACGGGCTGGCGGCAGTGACGGGGGGCACGGCGAGGGAGGTGCTGCAGAGCTGCTGAGAATCCATTTACCCCCCAACCACGAACTTCTCTGCTATGCCCCCCTCCTCCTCTCATGTCAGGCGCGCAACGGGCTGGCGGCCGTGACGGGGGGCATGGCGAGGGAGGTGCTGCAGAGCTGCCTGGTGATTGTGCGGCATCCCTTTACCCCCTGCTCACTTGAGTTCTCTGCTCTGCCCCTCTGCTCCTCTGCCCCCCTCCCCCCACCCCCCACTCCAGGCGCGCAACGGGCTGGCGGCAGTGACAGGGGGCACGGCGAGGGAGGTGCTGCAGAGCTGCTGGCGCAGCCCGTCGCTGAGCGTGCTGGGCGTCTCCACCTCGCCCTCCTGCGCGCCCTCCTGGTCCTCCCTCCCCAAAGCTGCTTCCGCTAGGGTACGCGCCTCTACCCCTGCCAGACCTCGTTACCTGGCCTCCTCCCCTTCTGGTCCTCCAACCCCAAGGCTGCCTTCGTCAGGGTAGGCCCCTCATTCCCTTTTGCTCGCCCTTCTGGTCCTCCAACCCCAAGGCTGCCTTCGTCAGGGTAGGCCTCTCACCCCCTTCCACTGAACATCTCATCCTCCTTTGACCACTTTTCTCTTCGTACTTGTTATATTTCTCCCCCGAGTGGTGATCTGGCATGTGGGGTGGGGAACCAGAGCCAGATCTTTGATGAGCTTTAATACCTTCCTCCCCTTCCATTTCGCATGGCAGGAGGTGATCTAGCACGTGCTAAATCGAAATCCTGATTTCTTTTTCTCTACTTCATCTGCCCCTCTTCCATTCCGCGTGGCAGGTGGTGATCCGGCACGTGCCGAACCAGAACCCTGACCGCCTGGTGCATCGGTTCCGGGCGCACGTGGCGCATGAGTTTGCCAAACTGCGGTCTGCGGGGAACTCCGTGACAGTCACGGTGGAGCACGTGGGCGACTGGTGAGTGGCGGTGTGATGCACACACACACCAGCATACTGGTGATTGGGACGTGGGCTACGGGTGAGTGTCACGTGAATGACTGGTGAGTGGCACGTCGGCGACTGGTGAGTGGAGGTGTGATGCACACCCACACCAGCACACTGGTGATTGGAACGTGGGCTACCGGTGAGTGTCACGTGAATGACTGGTGAGTGGCACGTCGGCGACTGGTGAGTGGAGGTGTGATGCACACCCACACCAGCACACTGGTGATTGGGACGTGGGCTACCGGTGAGTGTCACGTGAATGACTGGTGAGTGGCACGTCGGCGACTGGTGAGTGGAGGTGTGATGCACACCCACACCGGCACACTGGTGATTGGGCGTGATTGGTGAGTCACGTGGGCGACTGGTAAGTGCCACGTAAATGACTGGTAAGTGCCACGTAAATGACTGGTAAGTGCCACGTGGGCGACTGGTGAGTGCCACGTGGGTGATTGGTGAGTGGTGGTGTGATGCACACACACACAGGCACACTGATGTTAGAGACGGGGGCAACTCGTGAGTCACATGGGCGAGTGGTGGGTGACCGGTGAGTGGTGGTGTGATGCACACACACACAGGCACACTGGTGACAGGGACGTGGGTGACTGGTGAGTGGGCACACACACACATACATACATACATACATACATACATACATACATACATACATACATACATACATACATACATACATACATACATACATACATACATACATACATACATACATACATACATACATACATACATACATGCATGCATGCATTGATGCATGCATGCAAACATACATACGTACATACATACATCCATACATCCATACATACATACTTTAGACAGATATGCATACATACAGATATACATACATAAATGCATGCATACATGCAAACATAGGTACATTCGTACGTACTACATACATGGTGGCTGTCATTGTCGCACGTGGCCAACTGGTGAGTGGCATGTGGTGCAGACACACACACACACGTCCCCCCCTCCACACTCACACACCCCCCCCCCCCACACACACACATATTTACACACAAACACATACAGACTTCCCCCCCCCCCACACGCACACATACACATACACCCATATGCGCGCGCGCGCACACACATACACACCCACATACACATTTGAGTCCATGTAATTAGCAAGGTCTTTGCATCTCAAAACTGTCTGGTACGCTTAGTGAAGGAGTGCATACTGACCAAACTGACCAATGGATCAATTTCTCGGTGCATATGCAGTAGATACCTTTTCTTTTTTCTAGTCAACTAGATTAGTCCAATTTCTACGTTTTCACCATATATAACCATTTGATTCCATGTAATTTGCAAGATTTAAGCGTCTCAACTCTACCTGGTACACTTATTGCAGTTGCGCATACTGACCAAACTGATCAGTGCAGGCGATTGGTGGACCCTTCCTGCTCATTCTACCAACTCGATGAAAAGTGCATGTGTGCATCCTTCCACATCAGCTAATGCCCAGTCACCCAGTGCCTTTGAGTGTCCTTCATTCCATGCCCGCACATTCCCCGTTGTTTGCACTCCTCTCCTCTCCAGGTGGTTGGCAGACCCCTCCTGCTCCTTCTACCAGCTCGCAGAGAAGTGCATTCAGAGGCACTGGGACATGCCACCCATGTGAGTCTTAAACCCCTTCACTGCTACTGGGACCTGCCGCCTATGTAAGCTTGGATTTCCGGTGGTAATCCTTTGCATACCTTTTGACAATTGTCGTGTCGACTTGTAGTCACCAAATAAGGGATGTGCTTCGGGTGTGTGCTCCATGTCGCGTCACAACAAGCCATGTCAGCTGATCACCCCCTTCCTCCATGCCCACCCCCACAGGTACATCAGGGAGGGTGGCACGATGCCGGTGGTGCCATTTCTGGAATCAGCCTTGGGAGCGCCGGCCATCAAGATTCCCATCAGCCAGGCCACCGACGGCAGCGCGCTCCAGGTGGGCCTCAGGCTGCTTCGCAGGTGGTTGCAACAGAAGATTGTTCGTTTCAGGTGTATCTGAAGGTTTCCCAGGTAGTTGCTTGCAACAGATGGCAGTTTGCTTGCTTCAGGTGCGTGGATTAGCCTCCCACCCGAATCAGACAGGGGTGTGATTCATGTGGGAGGCAAACCCATTTTCCCCCTCACTCCTCTGGACCCTGACCTTCCTTATCTCTTTGGTGTGTGACAGAATGAACGGCTGGGATGGAGCCACCTCATCAAGGGCAAGGATGTGATCCGGGACTTTATCAAGGCTCTGGGGGACGGCAGCCGCAGCTGCTGATGTGATGTCAGCATCCGCTGCTGATGTCAGCCTTACCATGGCCAAGAGGGTCATCATGTCGCTGCAAGTGAGTGGGAGGCGGGTGTCATCTGCACTGGTCAGGGTCGTTAATAGATGGCACGTACGTATGTTTGGGGATGTCATGCTTTGAGCTGCCAATGGGGGGCCTGTGCACCCAACGGTGCAGTGTTGAGGCATGGAGAGATGGGGAGTACAGCGGTGAGGGAGCATGGAAACACAGTTTGATTCCCTTTATTGATGGGGTATATGCTGATCAAACCATACCCACAAGTATTGGTAGCGGTTGAGGGTAGCACCAGCTCTGCTTGTGAGTCGATGCGTTGTATGTACCGTAATTATGGAAGAGTATATATACAGGTCTCATTTTTGTAGCATTAGGTTTCCTCTCCTCCATCTATACATTCTTGTAGAAGAGAGAGCAGTGTATGTTTGATGTAGACTGCACTGCTCATAAACTCTCATGGTGAACTAGGTACCGTATTTTTCCTGATCCCACTGCTCTTACCGTATGAACACTTTTTGAAACGACTCAAAATATCTCAGCGCAACACTTATTGCACAGAAGCATGAGCGGCAGCCCTTAACTCCACATCCTTGCACTAGCGTCTACTTGATCTCAATGCACTGAAGAGTTCCTCAGAGTCTTCCCAAAGGAGATGATCGACGGCTACCGCAGGATCTCTAATTGAAATTGGAATCTATAATATAACCAAGAAATTGGCCTCGACATACAAGTAACAGAACAGCTGCCAGACCGTCTGTAAACCCTGCACATTTCTCATCATCGCAGCAGCATCCACTTGATCTCAGCGCACTTCTGACTGCAGCCTCAATCGCCGCATCCTCGTCCTTCTCCCGCCAGTAGACCCCATACCCCATACATACCCCACCCTACCCATGCACCATTGCAGCAGCAGCTTTATCTACTTGATCTCAGCGCACTGCCGGGGCCCGGGGTCCTCTCTCAGGCAGTTATCGATGGCAATGACAGCAGCCTCAATCGCCACATCCTCGCCCTTCTCCCGCCAGTAGAACATGTTGCCATACTTGCCAGCTAGCCGGCTCCAGAAGCTTCTGGGCACCGACAGGTCCACGGTCGAGCCAACATTGAAGTTCAGGAGGTTGCCTGAGATGAGTGGGTTGGAGGGAAGAGGAGGGTTTCACAAGATGCTTAGTTGGTGGGAGAACGAGTGGGTTGGAGGGAAGAGACGGGTTTCACAAAATGCTTAGTTAGTGGGAGAATGAGTGGGTCGGAGGGAAGAGACGGGTTTCACAAGATGCTTAGTTGGTGGGAGAACGAATGGGTCAGAGGGAAGAGACAGGTTTCAGAAGATGCTTAATTGGTGGGAGAACGAGTGGGTTGCTGACCATGCCCATGTCCAAGCACGATGCACCATGACCTTCCCTCTACAGCATACCCATGCACATGACCATGCTCATTGGCATGTTGATCAATGGCTGAGATGCTCTCACCCATGTTGGGGTCAGCAACGAACACCACAGTCTCATCAACCCATCCCCCAGGAGTCCCGAATGACCAACAGATAGATCAACGGCTGAGATGCACTCAAGTATGTCAATCAACGGCTGTGATGCAATCTCCTATGTTGATTAGCGGCTGCGATGCACTCACCCATGTTGGGGTCAGCGACGAACACCACAGTCTCGTCGTCCACCCCCCAGTAGTCCCGAATGGCCAACCCTGCCATGGCGCCACACACAACATGGGAGGGCGGCACGAGAAAATGCGTTGCAGTGGTGGATGAGAGGAAGGCGGAGGAAAGTGGGAAACATAAAGCGAGTGAGAAGCTGGTAGAAAATGAGCCTGAGATCACACAATGAGTACTCGAGAACTATGCACAATGATGCTGTTTCTTTGCAATTTACCCGGAGTGTTAGGGTAGTTTTGCGCCAGTATCCTCAGTTTATACCCCGTGTCTTGCTCCAATCTCTCCACGTCCTTCGCCAGCCGTTGCTCCTGCGGGCAGCAAGAGAGAGAAGTGGGAGACGTAAGAGGTGAGAAAAAAGGAAAGAAACGACCATCCATCAAACGAGATCCTTACAGGACTGAAGAGACTCCGGCGGGTCAATGAAATACATGCATTACCATTCCCGTGCTACAGTTAGCTGGAACTCACCATCACCCTCTCGCCCACTCTCACCCTAACGCATGAGCACCACCCATCCGGACGGCTAGCCGTCTAGCTCACCTGGCCGGGGGAGAGGAACCCTGCAACGTCGATGACGGTGGTGAACTCCTTGGGCAGCAGCTCCGGCTTGTTCACCCCCTCTGGCCGTGCCTCGGCAATCCCTAGGCCTGCCAAAATCACGATTCGCGAAATGTTGGGGAGGAATCAAACGCGGTGCAGGTGGGGTCAATGTAGCGAAACCATGTTTTTTGAATCTCAATGCTGAAATGCCATCCTGATGTGATGTCAACATTCTGCGATTCAATCAAGATGAAATGCGATTCCCAGTCACCACAGGAAATGCAGCCACCATGACCCTCCAGCGATTTTTAACGCTGGCAGCAGGAAATGCAGCCCACGCGTTATATTTGTTTGTTTGTTTCTTCCGTTTTTCAAAGTACGAACGACGCGAACGCAATCAATTCGCGTCGATGGTGTCCCGCATGTGTCGATCGATCGCGAGGGGAACGAGTTGCTGCAAGACGGCTTCACAGTCAACTCAAAAGTGAACATGTTGCTGAGATAGGCAAAGGTTGTCGCGACGACGCACCACTCAGTCTTCGCTATAGTCAGCCAGGTTCACACGCCTATTTATAACATGGTTTCGTGAGAGAAGGAATAAAGGCCAAACGACGTTGGCGAAGGTGTTACCTGCTGACAGGGCGACGGCCACGCTCGCGGACGTGGCGACGACGAGTTTCGCGGATTCTTGCGCCAATCTCGCGACTTCGTGTTTCCAGGCAGATCCGTCCTTCGCGGAGCTGTCGGATTGGGACGGGGCCTGCGAGTGTGCACGAATGGACGAAATTCGTCGAAGTGGTAACTTCGTTGACAAAGAATCAGCAGAGCTGCTGGCTCCTGCGGACATCCGCTGCCTCTGCAGCGACGCAGGGATGGCCATGGCGCGAACCGCGGTGGCAGCAGCCATTGTAGGGACGAGGAAAGCAGAGGGAAATGGCTACCAGGAGAAGGTGAAACGGAGCCACTGGCACGAAGAGCACAAAGCTCAGTTAGCCAAATGATATATTTTAGAACTGCCTGACTCGTGAGTGAAGAGAACAAGGACGATCAATGTGGCCGTAATGTGGAGATGGATGCTCCGGCCTAGAAGGTTTGAGAGGTCAGCTCTCACATTGCCATCTTCTCCTGCTATGGAGCAATTTATCACCATTTCAATGTTTTTGAGGGATATTTGGTAGAACACATAGCCACGCCCGCTATTCCTTCTGAAAAGGTTTGGCCCCGTCTGCAACGAATCTTTGTGAGGCTGCAACGACTTTGCTTCCAGACCCAGCCCAATTTTTGCCACCCGGATCCACTCCTGAGAAATTAGGACGGGCAGGGATTCGGATAACAAGAAATAAATTTGCTGAATTTGACGTTGGTATTGTAGCCGTACACTTCAGTGTTGACGCAACATTCTTCGTGGCGTGGGTCGAGCCACAGAGCTGACGTCACCCTTCGCTGATCTGACGAGGCAGCGAGGAACTCTAAATGCCACGTGAGTTGAAAACAGCCGCATCAGCACATGACATTGAACGATGCGATTAGCTTGGAAATACAAACAACACGTTTCACTCATGTGTTCCAACTCTAAATTAGGAGGAAAGGCACAATCCAGCAGCTTTATTATGCTACACATACCTTAACTCTGGAGCGCTGATCAGAGTCACACCTCATAATACAGAGACACTGAAGCAACATAACACCATGCAAGCTTAGGAATACATCCACATGTTACAACAGCTGGGGGTACAACTCTTGTTGCATATCCACACCCCCTCTCATCCTCTCAACCACCATTTCCACCCCGTCCTTCCCTCTCCTTCCTCCAGGCCCATCCCCGCACACCCTTCCTTGCCCCTTGAGACTTGCCACCAGGTCCTCCCCCTCCACCTTCACCACGTCCCTCCTCACCCCCACGTCCAGCGCCACTCGGCTCAGGCTGTACGACCCTGCACACCCACACAGAGACACACGCATACACACACAGACACACACACTCATCAACACGCAGAGCGAGGAGTTTAGAGAGCAAGGGGTTTAGAGAAGCCAGCAAGAGCGCCACATACATCATGCTATCAGGTGGGAGATGTGGGAGCGCTGGTGAAGGCACTGCCTAAGTCACACCAGCTGAGAGAACAGCTGGCATTTATATGCACCAACTCACCTCCCACCCATGCCAGCACCATGTGCAGCACACCATCTCCGCTCCCCCTCACCTCTCCCAACCCCCCCCCGCCAATCTCACCGGCGAACACAGCAGCAGCAGCCAGGGGGCCGACGAGCAGCAGGGGAACGGCGGCGGTGGCAGAGGCAAAGTTGAACCCAAAGAACGCAGCGGACTGGCCGCTGGTGCCCACGCGGGTCTTGTCCACCACGAGTGCACGCGTCTTGCAGAACACGGCAAAGTCCTCACAGTTGTTGTCCAGCACGTGGTAGCGCCCAAAGCCCTCTTTCAGCAGCAGACGTGCTCTGTATCAGGAAAGAGTACAGTGGAAGCCAGGTCATTTACGAGCTGCACGGGTGGGTCTTCCAGTACACGGCAAAGTCCTCACAGTTGTTGTCCAGCACGTGGTAGCGCCCAAAGCCCTCTTTCAAGAGCAGACGTGCTCTGTATCAGGAAAGAGTACAGTGGAAGCCAGGTCATTTACGAGCTGCACGGGTGGGTCTTCCAGTACACGGCAAAGTCCTCACAGTTGTTGTCCAGCACGTGGTAGCGCCCAAAGCCCTCTTTCAGCAGCAGACGTGCTCTGTATCAGGAAAGAGTACAGTGGAAGCCAGGTCATT